TGTTTGTTGGCATAAAGCCCTAAATAGAGAAACTTATTGACTACTCGGTATAAACAAAATAAGGAGGCGTATAGCCTGTAGCGGTGTCCGGAAAAGATTTACAAATTACCCGGTATAACTTAGAGATACGGTGTATAGCAGGAAGAGACCGGAAACCGGGAAACCCGGCGTAACAACGAGAAACCCGTTGCCCGGTGTAGCAGGAAGAGACCGGAAACCGGGAAACCCGGCGTAACAACGAGAAACCCGTTGCCCGGCGTGTAGCAGGAAGAGACCGGAAACCGGGAAACCCGGCGTAACAACGAGAAACCCGTTGCCCGGCGTGTAGCAGGAAGAGACCGGAAACCGGGAAACCCGGCGTAACAACGAGAAACCCGTTGCCCGGCGTGTAGCAGGAAGAGACCGGAAACCGGGAAACCCGGCGTAACAACGAGAAACCCGTTGCCCGGCGTGTAGCAGGAAGAGACCGGAAACCGGGAAACCCGGCGTAACAACGAGAAACCCGTTGCCCGGCGTGTAGCAGGAAGAGACCGGAAACCGGGAAACCCGGCGTAACAACGAGAAACCCGTTGCCCGGCGTGTAGCAGGAAGAGACCGGAAACCGGGAAACCCGGCGTAACAACGAGAAACCCGTTGCCCGGCGTGTAGCAGGAAGAGACCGGAAACCGGGAAACCCGGCGTAATGACGAGAAACCCGTCACCCGGTGTATAGCAGGAAGAGACCGGAAACCGGGAAACCCGGCGTAACAACGAGAAACCCGTTGCCCGGCGTGTAGCAGGAAGAGACCGGAAACCGGGAAACCCGGCGTAACAACGAGAAACCCGTTGCCCGGCGTGTAGCAGGAAGAGACCGGAAACCGGGAAACCCGGCGTAATGACGAGAAACCCGTCACCCGGTGTATAGCAGGAAGAGACCGGAAACCGGGAAACCCGGCGTAACAACGAGAAACCCGTTGCCCGATACTAAAGGTAGGAGGCCAGAAACCGAGAAACCCGGCGTAACAACGAGAAGCCCGTTGCCTGGCTAGGAGGTCCGGAACAGGACTGGTGCCGGCTCATCCGTCGAGCCGGCTTATATACCCTGCCGGCGGTTCCCCCACTCTACCTCGAGGCTGTGGTGGGGGTAACGCCGGCGTCGTAGTGGGGCGCCTCTGGGGGTTGTAGTGGGGCGCCCCTGGGGTAGGGTGACCCGTGTATCAGTTATGATTTTGTGCTTAGGGGCGCCTTAGGCGCCATAGCCTCAAGTGGCGGGCGGGTGATCGGCCCGCGAGGCGTTAGTAACGGCTACGCCGTTACAACATGTGAAAATTTAAGTGTACGTGTATGTGTGTGTGTGTGTGTGTGTGTGTGTTTATGTATGCATGTGCTGTGTGCGCGCGAGGTGTGTAAATTTAATTTTATAGTTTTTATTTTCTTTATAATAACTAATTATTAATATACATAATCATTAAGAAAATATAACTTACAAAGTCGTATCGTTTTCCATAATGTCCTCCAAAATTTCTTTTTTTGTAAACAAATTGGTATTTGTTATTTCTTTTAAAGCCATGTTAAACCTATATTAATGTGTTTATATTATTAAATGCTTTTTTAACAATTATTAATAATATAAATAATGTTCAACATTGAGTTTTATACCAAAATTTTGCTCTGTGAAAGTAGAATTTATTAATTTTGATACTGATATTTTCAGCATAATAATCTTTAATACTTACGTTAAAAAGAAAATGAATGTACTACACAACCGTCTTGGAGTCGATACACACAAGAAATGCTCTACGGTTTTTTGCTAGCGTCTTTTTTTTCCTTAGAAACGATGAAAAAAGAAATATTTGTTTTTCCTTGAAAAACAATAGAAAGTTAAAAACAAATAAATATGAATAACTTTAATTGTAATTAATAAAATAATAATATAGAATTTAATTAATAATATTATTCCACATTAATATATTAAAATAATGAAAATAATGACACAGTTTCTCTATACCTATATATTTACATTATGTTTGTCCAAATTTTACGTTATATTCTTTATTTCTAAAAATATTTATAATAAGAAATTAGGCGCGGCTTTTTTTGTTACATAGAGTATTATTTTATAAATGCTAATAGGCACAATAAATAGTGGTAAACTTTGTATTAATAATTTAAATTTAATAATTGATTTTAATTAATATAACAAATAATTACATAAATGTTTTTAATGTAATATTTATTTTAATTTATAAATGTTTTATTATAATATTATATAAATATCTTACTTTTGTTTAAGTTATTATGTATATTTAAAAGCTCAATCATTCCAGGCAGCAATTTGAATGATAATTTCACTGTTGTTCATAATAAAATTATAAAGATGCGTTTCTACCATTCCTTTTGGTTTTCGGTTGATCTGATTTAAAATGTTGAACTGCTATAACCTGTTATTTTATAAAATAAATTAATTGTATTAATAAAATTTTGAAATATTTTGTTAATTAGGAATAAAATATCTAAATTGGTTAAAATTTATGATCATAAATTATTACTAAAATTTTAATATTATTATCAATAAGTATATAATGTATACATGTGTATAATGTGTATGTAGTATAGGTAAAGTATGTGCATATGTTAGTGTGTGCGTGTGTGTGTACATGTGTGATTTGCGTGAGTATGTACACATGTATGTATATGCGTGCGTATGTATTTGTGTGTGTATATACATATTTGTGTGTGTAAATTTAATTCTATAATTATGATCAATGTTATAATTATTAATAAGCTGCTGTAACTTACAAAATTATATTATTTTCTACAAGGTGCTCCAAAATTTCTTTGTAAACAAAATATTTTTAATTTTTTTTAGTTATTTACTTTAAAAATTGATGTTTTCTTCTAGAAAAAGAATCCTTAGAAATAATTTAAAGAAAAAAAAATATTTGTCTTTCCTGGAAAAAATCAAGGAAAAAAGATACTTAGAAACAAATAAATATTAATAAATTTTTAATTTTAATTTTATTTTACTAAATTAAAGTAATATTTTTATTAAGAATTCTTAATTACAAACTTTATAAATAAATAACTATAGACTAATAAATAAATATTTAATAAATATAGTATTTATATTTATATGTATTGTGATATATGAATTTAAAAAAAATAATGTTATATAGTATTTTTACTTTTGTTTATGTATAATATTTACTCTAAATATTCTTTTTTGTTTAATATATTTCTTTTAGATTATAAATTTTAATTATACACTTCATAAGTTAAATCATATTTTAATTAAAAAATTTAAAACAAAATATTTAATAAATAATATTTAATAAAAAAAGAAAGATATGAATAAAAAATAAAAATAAATCAATTTGTTTATTAAAAATAAAAAATTTCTATACTTACAAATTTAACAATTTTATAATGTTTTGTAGGTTAAAGCTTTTGATTTAATCCTATAAATAAAATATTAAATTAATTAGTTTAATTTTTATTCAAATAAAACTTTATATTATATTCAAAAGTTATAGATTAGACCAATGCTTAAATTTTTATTTTATTTTGTTTTTAATAAAAAGTTTACCATTTCTGAATCATCATTGAACTTTCTTTTTCTGGGGAGAAATGCTGCTTTCGCAAGATCTTAATCTGATATGGTACCCGGTATAATTTTGACATTTGAGACATTCTCAATCAACAAGAAATTAGGCATTCTGTCAGCCATAAGAATACCTGATATTTGTAATTTTGTTTTTATTTTAAATTTATCAAGAATGTTGCGATCTTTACATCGTATTTCAAATCTGTATTTTTCAAATCCTACTGATGAAATGTATACGAGTACACGTTCACCAAATGTATCTTCAGTAAAATCATATTTTAAAAAGGCCTCCAAAGTCACTACAATTATTGAAATTAAAACGTATTATTTAAAGTATATTAATCAAAATATAAAATGTTTTACAATTTTTTGATTAAAATTGTTGAAAATATAAAATATAATATAAAAAAACAAGTTCAAAATAAATTATAAAAAGTTTATATTTAGAAGAAATAAAAAATAAATTTTAAAAATAGGAGATGAAATAAAAATTAAATATAATGAAAGAAATTTAAATAATGAAAAAATTTTAAATTAATTTTAAATTATGAAAAAATCTTAAAATTATATAAATATTTTTACTTTTGTTTATGTATATATATATATATATATATATATATATATACAGGGTGTAATTGAAATAACATATATGATAATGTTAGATTCTCTGGCCAATTTAGAAACGATTTTTCCTCAGTGAAGATGTTGAGAAAGGTCATCAATTTTTACAAACTTCCAATTTTTATTATTATATATCTTTGTAACTAAGCTTTAAATTAAAATTTTATTAAAGTAAACTCCACTTGAAATTAACTGAAGAATATAATTATGTTAACCATTTAACTCTACAAAGTTTAGTTTGCGAGAAACTCGTTTTTTTCAATCGCTTTAACTCGAAAATTATCGACTTCTCAACATTTTCGCTGAGGAAAAATGATTTCCAAATTGGCCAGAGAATTCGGTATTATATGTCATATATGTTTATTTAGTTACACCCAGTATATATATATATATATATATATATATATATACAGGGTGTAACTAAATAAATCACACGCACACGTACTTACGAGTATGCGCGCGCGCATACTCGTAAGTACGTGTGCGTGTGCGTGTGCGTGTGCGTGTGTGTGTGTGTGCGCGCGCGTGTGCGTGTGTGTATGTGTATAAATTGAAAGGATTCTATCAGGTATAGATGAAATTTAAATAGTTACTTTATTGCCAAAAATTAATTTTTATTAATTTATTTTTATGAGAAAAATTTTTATTATATTGTAAAATTAATAAAAAAAACTTGATTTCATATCGTAAAATTAATAAAAAACTTGGTGGAAATATATTAATTCAAACTTCATGTATGTATATATACGTATATAATTTCAAATAAAGAGTATATGTATAATTACCATATTGAGTTTTAGAATTTAAAATGTTTTGAATAGTAACTGGTTCATAAATTTTAGTTTCCTCATATTCTCGAATTTTTCCAATGACATTCACAACTGTATAATCTTTGATAGTTAAATCCATAGGGACATTTCCTAAACTCTTAGAATAACGTTTTTGAGAAAAAGCTCCGGATACATGTACCACCTATATACATATAAAAAATATAATTATTAATTTTATAAAATACTTATTAATTATGAAATTTATTATTAAAAATGTTCATCAATAGAAAAGTTTAAATTTTGCAACAATTGTTGTAAGATGACTTTGAAACATATTTACTAAAAAAGAATTTTCTAAAATTATAAGTTATAAATATTGTAATAAGAAATGTTTTTATGTATACATACATACATACATTTTAAAATTATTTATAATGAAATAAATAATGAGATAAATATTTAACAAAAGTCAATTTCTTTTACAATATTTATAACTTATAATTAGAAAATGATTTTTTAACAAAAAATGTGTTTTGTAAAGTCATTTTACATTATTTATTATAAAACTTAAACTTTCCTATATGAGTTTTTTATATTCAAGATAAAAACATAAATTTACATTAAAAAATTTGTTATCAAAATTAATTGATCAATTGTAAATAATTTTTTTAAATTATAAAATTGATTTTTTATTTGTAATATTTTACTAACAGTAAATTAACATTATTTCTAAATGTTAAAATTTAGTTTTGTTATTAATTTTTATTATTAATGATTTTTATTGAAAAAAAACATTTTTTATAGAATATTTTTATTAATAATTTTATCTCAATTTTTTATAGAATTGACATCATAAAATTAATTATTTATTTTATTGTAAGATTATTTATAAATTATGTTGATTTTTACATTTTATAATTATTTATAAAAAGATTTTTTAAGAACAGTTAATATTTTATGTAATAACAAATATATAAAATAATGTCTTAATTTATGTTGTAAACATTTGTAATAAAATGATTTTAATTTTGTGATAAAAACTTACAAATGATGTTTTAAAGTTATGTATAACTCGATTTATGTTATTGCCCCATATAGTAACTTGAACCTTCCAGTCTTTATTATTTGTCAAAATTACTCGACAACGTTGAACTTCACCATTTTTAGTTTTAACAGCAATTGTACTGTCGATTTGTTCCACCATACTGATAAAACACCTTAAAAAAAAATATATATATAAACAATTAATATTTTATATTTATTAAAAAAATAAAAAAATAATTAAAAGTTCAATAAAATTTTTAATAAATGTATCTTTTATACATCAATTACATTTATATGATTTTATGCTACTATTATATAGTTTTATTCTTAAACTGACAGAATTTTACAAATTTAACGATAATACTGAAATAGTGAGAATAAGTAATTTATGAATAAAAAATTAAATATTAAAAAATTTTTAAAACTTACACTGTACCATCATTAGGTAACATAACTTTGAAAAGTTCTCTTGGTGAAACATATAATGTTGGATTATCACACAACTCACGATAAATGTCTGATTCGCTATCCATTTTCTTTGTAGCTTTATCCTAGAATTTTTTAATAAAAAATATTTCAATGTAACGTACACACGCAATTTTAAAATAAAAATATAAATAGCAACTAAAATTTAATATTATATAGTAAGAATATATATTTATAAGAATATATTATTATTAAGACAAATAATATAAATATTTTTAACAAAAATCAATTGGAATATAAATAATTGTAAAATAATTTTTTGTAATAGTTTATATTAGCAAATATATAAATGTTTAGTTGTAATTAATATAAGTTGTAAATAATTAATATAAGTTGTAATTAATATATGTAACAAATATTTAGCGAAAATTTTTTTGAAATATCATAATTAAGTGACTATAAGACAAAATATACAATATATGTATACAATATTTTAATTGTAAGATAGATTTAAGCACATATTTAATTATAAGTTATATAATTGTAATTAGTATAAATAAATTATTCATATAACTTCATATATATTTACCGTTTAGTTTAATAAATCACAAAGAATCAAATTTATATAATAATTATAATAATATTTCAATTTTATGCACAATTAATAATACTAAATGAATTATACGATGTCTGTTACTTTTAACGATGATGTTACCATCATTACGTAGCGATGTACATGTTAAAATATATGCGTAATAACATTACCATGATACAATGTTACATAGCAACCATCGTTATTAGGACTAAAGGATATCGCACACAAATTACATAAGCTGCATATGCATAGCATAAGACCTTATGGACCAATGAGCATCAAGCATTGAATCACATGCTCGATGTTCATTGGTCCATAAGGTCTTATGCTATGCATATGCAGTTTATGCAATTTGTGTGCGATAGCATTAAAGGCCGCCGCACACACTTTTGCATGACATATAATGTAAGTGTATAAAGAATTTGATTGGTTGAATTTTATTATGCATGTGCTGATGGACCAATAAAATGTCTAGATTCGAAAATTTTTCTATGCTACAGCCAATTAATACGTTTGAAAAATTTATTCTACGACAAATGTAATATCAACTGAACATGTCAACTTATTGCACAATAAAATTTTTAGTTTTAAAGATTGGTAGCAATTGATTTGAAAATAAATAGTAGGTACACTACATACTCTAATTGTGTGTGACAACTTAAAAGGTTATAGATATCGTTACACCTTAAAAGAATTCTTAAAAATTCTTGAAAATTTCTCGTCGAGCAGCAAAGAAATTATTTGTTTCAATAATATATGAAGTGACAGATATAATAACAATAAGGTAAATTATTTTGAAATATAATATATCATAAGATCATTAAAAAAAATACAAAATCGCATTTAAAAATATAAATACTGTTATATTCTAATAATTGATTATGTAAATATATAACTTTAAAATACATATGCTGAGTATTGGAAAATTTAAATATATTTAAAGTATATATATATATATATATATATATATATATATATATATATATATATATATATTATATGTAAATATATGAGGTATTCCATTTCAAATCGTGCGTGCATGCGTGCGTGCGTATGTACGTGTATAGTTTATATTGCAAACCCATGTAGAATCCTATGAAAAATTAATCATTGCAAACCCATGTAGAATCCTAGGCAAAATTAACCATTGCAAACCCATGTAGAATCGTACCCATTGCAAACCTATGTAGAATCCTATGAAAAATTAACCATTGCAAACTCATGTAGAATCCTATGAAAAATTAACCATTGCAAACCCATGTAGAATTGTATTAAAAATTATCCATTGCAAACTTATGTAGAATCCTACATTGCAAACCCATGTACAATAGAATTGTATGAAAAATTATCGATTATAAACCCATGTACAATCGTAACAAAAGTAATGAAATAAAAAAAAAATTGCGCCAAGTGAAAGTAGAAACTTGTACCAGTGGAAAATTAAAGTTGCAGACATATATAGAGTCGTATAATGAATCAGTAAAAATTTAAATTTGCAAATGTAGAATCGTACCATAAAAAAACTTATCTTTTAAAAAAAAGATAAACAAGATGCCAAGTCCATGCGCCATGTGAAAAAGAAATAAAAAAATTTTAGTTAAAAAAACTGGGCGCGCTGCTAAGTTTCAAAATTACAATGCACCTTAAAGTAACATTAATTAATTTAAACACAAAACATATTTTAACTGTAATGAGTTTAAAAGTAACAATTTAATTTTAATATTGTTAGAATATTATTTAGCAGCGCTCCCAGTTTTTTTAACTAAAATTTTTTTATTTCTTTTTCACATGGCGCATGGACTTGGCATCTTGTTTATCTTTTTTTTTAAAAGATAAGTTTTTTTATGGTACGATTCTACATTTGCAAATTTAAATTTTTACTGATTCATTATACGACTCTATATATGTCTGCAACTTTAATTTTCCACTGGTACAAGTTTCTACTTTCACTTGGCGCAATTTTTTTTTATTTCATTACTTTTGTTACGATTGTACATGGGTTTATAATCGATAATTTTTCATACAATTCTATTGTACATGGGTTTGCAATGTAGGATTCTACATAAGTTTGCAATGGATAATTTTTAATACAATTCTACATGGGTTTGCAATGGTTAATTTTTCATAGGATTCTACATGAGTTTGCAATGGTTAATTTTTCATAGGATTCTACATAGGTTTGCAATGGGTACGATTCTACATGGGTTTGCAATGGTTAATTTTGCCTAGGATTCTACATGGGTTTGCAATGATTAATTTTTCATAGGATTCTACATGGGTTTGCAATAGGATAGGATTCTACATGGGTTTGCAATGGATAATTTTTGTTAATGGCGTGCCCTTAACTGGTCGCCTTTTTTTACCTTTTTTTAAAGGTGAGTTTTTAGAGATTATATCATTCATTTTTGTATATTTTTATGACCGGAATAGAACAATTATTAAACATGTTTATCTAAACTTCTTTGCTTAAAATGATGTGTACAATCATATCCTAGAATCCTGATCATTCCTCCTAAAGCACCCTATTTATATAAATTTACCCATATGTGTGTGTGTGTGTGTGTGTGTGTGTGTGTACTAATGTCGAGCATTTTTTATACATTTTCTATTAAATTTAGATAAAAGTTGCAGGATTTCGAAAAAGAAAAAGTTGACACAGACTTTTTCCTAAACGGCGATTTTCAAGGTTATTTAAAGGTCACTTATATTTTCAAAATAGAATTACCTTAATTTTTCTCATATAAATCGATTCCTCGCAATATTTACTATAAAAAGTTGTAAAGGTATAATTTTTACATAATCTTACATAAACTTCGAAATATTACAAATATTTTATTTTATGAAATATTTCAGTTTATGTAAAATTATGTTAACTATCTTTTAAATTATTCACTTTTAGCCATCTTACCCTTACAACCTTTTATAGTGAATATTGCAACAAATTGGTTTATATATATAATATATATATAACATCAGTTATTATTAATTGATGTTTACATTTATTTTTAGACTTACTAGAGCTCAAATGCTCCACATTTTTTGCAAAAACTGTTTATTCTACAGATTTCAAATATGCTTTTAAATGATGATTGAATATTTCCTTTTTTTAATTATTTTTATTATTATTTTTCAATCTCAATCAACTTTTATAACTTTATGCCAGCACGATACAAATACATGTGTCTTTATTTTTTTTATTATTTTCATTATTATTTTTCAATCTCAATCAACTTCTATAACCTTATGCCAGCAGGATACAAATACATGTATGTCTTTATTATTGTATCAACTCTTGTCTTTTCCATGTAACCATGTCTTCATAGTTTGAATTATCCCTTCATCTTCTCAATCTTTCGCAGAGATTTAATTAATTAAATACACTTCACACGAAATAAAGTTTGCTGGAAGATATACAGCAAACGATAACTGTAAAAACATGATTACGTGGAAAGAACAAGAGTTGGTACAGTAAAGGCAAGTAAGTAAGTACATGTAATGTATCGTATTGGCATAACGCTATATCCGCGGAGCAGATAATGTGGCTGTAGAGGTAGTCTGCAGTGCAGCTAATGTGGACGTAGATGTTGATTGAGATAATTGTCTAATATAAAATAGAATTTAAAAATTTAGTTTAAAAAGCTGTTGCATATATAAATAAAGTTTATTTTTTCTAAATTTGGAATATGTTTAATTAATTAATTTTTTAAGTCTATGTTTAATAAATTTTTTAAGTCTGTATTCAATAATTTTATTCATTTGATAAATACATGTATGTCTTTATTTTGATATGTTTAATATAATTAGAAATTCATTATTAATTAGATATGTAAACTATAAATTCATATATAATATTTGAAAATATATGTGAATATTTAAATTTTTATCTTCTCCTTCCTCTCCTTCAATCTCTTTAATATCAATATGTGTATGTGTGTACACGCGCGCACATTTGTACGTATTTATTTAATTATTGGATAGTTGAGAGTACTTAATTGATAAAAAATTATGACAATAATAATCCTTGTTTTTTTTTCTTATTATTTACTCAGATTTTTTTGTCTATCTTATAAGATAAACACTTTAGAGATTGAATATTTCAAGTAAACTAATTGTAAGTAAATTTCACATTAATGCATATAGATGTTTAATCATGAATGTACTAAATAAGACGAACAGTGAGTGAGTGAGTGAGAATGAGAGAGTGTGTGTGTGTGTGCGTGTGTGTGTGAGAAAGAGAGAGAGAGAGAGAGAGAGAGAGAGAGAGAGAGAGAGAGAGAGAGTTAGCCAACATAACCCCGCACGCTGCCGATATGGCGGAGCGCCACTATCGCCATCTGTTGTAAAACGTGCGAGATGGACAAAATTACCACTACATGCATCTTGCATGTGTTGTGTACGTGTGATATATGTGTGCGCATGTGTTGTATACGTGTGAATACGTGTAGCACGATACTACTATGAATGCGTGGTCGATGATGATAATGATGATGACAATGATGATAATGATGATATAATGATGACGGGGACGTTTCTTAATAGAAATTTTTCATATTTCGACTTTGCATTTATATATCTCTGCTTACAAATCACGTAGAGCAGAAATAAAGACACTTTTATTATATAATTCGAACTCAATCTATCGATTAAGTCTAGTATAAACTCGATTGCTTCAGCCATTATTGAGGATTCGAAATATTATAAAGACTCAAATGTCCGACTCGCGTTAAGATACACGGTGTCTCCGCTACGCCCTTAACTGGTCGCGAGACACTACCGTGTCTCTTGATATATACAAAACCAGTATTGAACAATGTATATAAATTTTATATAAATTTAATATTGTATGTAGTTTTTAAAAAATTTATGTAAAATTTATATTAATTAGTTTGTATAAAATTTATACAAGATATAGTATAAAAAGGATGGGATCGGTAAAATTATATATATATAGTTGTCTTAAAGAAAAAACTATATTTTATTTACATTAATTGATTTGTCTCATGTGCATAAAATATTAAGTATACGATGTATATAATATTATGTATATATAAAATGTTAAAATTACACAAAATTAAACATTTCACGAGATATTTTGTAATTTATGTCAAAATACTGTTTAAAATATTATAACTAAAAAAAGTATTTAATAAAAAAATATTTTTTTGTAATATTTTGAAAAGCTCTCGAGATAAGGTATAGAAAAATATCAAATAAAAATGTGGGTTTTCATTAAAAATTTTAAAGTTGACTTTGAGATTTTCTTTATGACTACACTTAAGATCAAATGTGTATTACCATTTCATATATTTTTTATATAATATATTTGTTACTATATTCTTGAAAAGAAATGATATCACTGCCAAAATATTTGCTGAAAATACAAAATAATATCAATTGATAATATATAATATATACCTATTAAATACATTGTCATATACATATAGATAATATAAAAATTTATTTGTTTTAAAGATAAAATAATAATTTTAAATAGTTTTATGTGTTAATATAATTTTAATTTTTTTTTACAGTGGATTGATATTTGATTTTTATCGTTGAATATATATGATCCAACTAAATATATATGAGCAAAATATAGCATATTCAGGTATTATTTTATTTTTTATTTGAATTAATAATAAATATTTCACATAATAAGACAAATATATATAAATAATAAATAAGCTTATATATATAAATAATAAATAAGCTAATATATGTAAATAATAAATAAGCTAATAAAAATATTTTGTTTCAGGTTTGGTAGCCACTTATATTTTTTGGCTAAAACAAAGCTCCAATCCAGCTTTTGTAATTTGACAATTGGACATAATTGTGAAAATTTAGATAAAAATTTGACATAAATATTTGACATTATAGTTGTAACACTACAAGTATTATTTGATATTTTAATTGTTGATATTTGAAATTTGTAAGAAATTAATGAATGTTTGATTTACATTTAAATATTTTATTATCAAGAACACTATACATATACTTGTTACATAACAATTATATTCGCTATATAAAATTAAATTAAATTTTTATTTGAATGTTAAATTAATATTATCGTGTTATAGTTATTTATTATTAAATTGATATTTAATGTAAGTGCAATATTGAAATTTATAATTTAACAACTGTGTAAAATAAAAACAGTTATTTTATGTAATATTTTATTTAATTTTAAATCATCAGTGTGCTATTTTCATTTAAATAAAATTTAATAAAATTATATAATAGTCTGTTATTTAATTTATTAACTACAAATTTATTAACTAAAAATTAATTTAAAATTTATATAAACAAATATTTTGTTTGTATATACATTTATATTCGTTACATTTTATAATATTTAAATTTTATTGATCTGTGTAAACATTTAACAAAAAAGATTTAATTAAAATAATTTAAAAATGGGTAAACGTAAAGCTATTCGTACTCGAGAGGAAGAAGAAGAATTTCAGCGATTAAAGAGAGAACGAAAGGCTTTAAATCAACAAAAATACCGCGAGAGAAAAAAAGAAAATGCAACAAACAATATAGCTGAGTCATCTAAAGTTTGTGAATCAAGAAATTTATTAAATAATAGTTCATCAGTTGCAGTGTCTAAATCGCAAAATCCTTTGGTCACAAACAATATTTATCTTGCTTCATCAGTAATAAAATGTGTTATTACAACGTCGACTTTGAGCAATTCTGTTACTACAATTAACAACTGCATATCAAAGTTATCGAGCAATAGTTCTTTGATAACTTCAAATTCAAAACTTGATAACGATAATGTTAATATAATTAAAAAAACTGTCAACCATGAACAAAGTACACTTACAAGTGTTGAAAATACTACAGATTCAAGTCAATTAATTTCAGTAAATATAAATGATAATTTTTCCGAAATTGATAATATACAATTACAAAATATCACAGATAAAAGAAAAATGCAAAATTGTCGAGCCAATTATAAAGGATTTCAAAACATAAATTATCATAATATAAATCAACATTACATAGGAAAAATGGAAGTAGAGTGCAAATATTGTAAAGCAAAACATTTTCACGCTGAAAAAGTTTATAATAAATGTAATTCATTCAATGATTGTTGTAGTCATGGAAAAGTTATATTGGAATCTCTATCACCATTTCCTGATGAACTACAACAGTTATTTTTTGGAAATCATAAAAAATCTAAAGAGTTTTTAAAAATCTGCGAAGTTATAATAGTGCATTTTCTTTTGCCTCTTTTAATGCTAACTTGGTTAATTTTAATGCACAAAGACGAAGTCCTTATTGCTTCAAAATTCAAGGTCAAATTTATTATCAAATTAATACTGCAGTATATCCTGCTGCACAAGAACAATCAAGTTATGGACAGCTTTTCATTCTTGACGCTAACGAAGCTACAGAATGTCGTTTAAATGTAAATACAAATCTTGATGAAGAGTTATTACATACATTAGATGGTATTATTCGCAGCAATAATATGTTTGCTCAGTCATATCAAATGATGCATGAAGAAGTTTGTAATCAAGAAAATTCAGGTTTAAATGTGCCTAATTTAAAAATGGCATTCTTAAATAAGAAAACAGGTATTGATCGCGGAAGATATAATATTCAAAGAACTAACGAAGTTGCTGCAATTTTTTCAACTACTGCAGATGGAGATATTCCTGATTGTTATGTTACAATTAGAAACAAACGTGATAAAACTTTAAAATACGTTAGTACAATGGATCCAAACGTTGAACCTTGGATTTATCCAATGTATTATCCACATGGTACGCCAGGTTGGCACGATAATATTAAACAAATTAATGGAAAACGTGTAACTAGATCTATGTACATTCAATATCGAATAGCTATTCGTGACAATACTAATATTTTTTTAATGGGTAAACGATTATTTCAACAATGGCTTGTTGACAATTATGTAAAAATAGAAAAAGACAGAATTAACTGGTGTAAAGAAAATCAAAAACAGTTGAGAGTTGAAAAGCATCAGGGACTAATCGATTATTTAGAAAAAAAAGCGACTGATGCTAATGCTCGTGTTGGACGAATAATGATACTTCCATCAACATTTATTGGTTCACCTCGAAATATGATGCAAAATTATCAAGATGCGATGGCTATTGTTCGTAAATATGGTAAACCAGATGTTTTTATTACAATGACTTGTAATCCAAATTGGCTCGAAATTAAAGAAAATTTACTTTCAAATCAACAACCTGCTGATAGACCTGATATTTGTGCTAGAGTATGATATAAAAAAAAATTATTTGATAGATTTGATTGTTCGACAAAAATTTTTTGGTGAAGTAAAAGCATTTGTTTATGTAATCGAATTTCAGAAACGTGGTTTGCCGCATGTGCATATATTAGTAACTTTAAAACAACAATGCAAAATTATTAATTCGGAAACCGTTGATAAGTATATTTCTGCTGAAATTCCGGATCCTGCTATTGATCAAAATTTGCATGAAATTGTCATGAAAAATATGATTCATGGACCATGTGGTAATTGGTGTATGGTAAATGGAAAATGTTCAAAGCATTTTCCAAAATCTTTTCACGAGGAAACAACTATGGATGAAAATGGTTATCCACAATACCGTCGAAGAGACACTAGCATTTTGTATGAGAAACCTGGAGGATTTGTAGTAGATAATCGATTTGTTGTTCCTTACTGTCCAATATTATCAACAATTTTTAATTGTCATATTAATGTTGAAGTTGTTTCAAGTATCAAGTCAGTAAAGTATTTATATAAATATATTTACAAAGGTCACGATGCAGCATCTGTAGTTATAGAAGAAGATGTGAATAATATGGAAATTGTTCATGACGAAATCAAAGATTTTATTGAAGCACGTTATGTAGGACCAGTTGAAGCTTATTGGCGTATTGTAAATAAAATATTGCAAGAAAAAAGTCATGCCATCATTCGTTTACCTGTACATTTGCCAAGTGAACAAAATGTAATTATCTCTGATCATTTAAATGAACAAGATTTACAATCTGCTTTAGAACGTATAACAATGTTAATGGATTATTTTGAATTAAATAAACGAGATGTTGATGCACACCAATATGTATATACAGATATACCTTTATATTACGTGTTCAAGAAAGTAATTCTTGATGGAAAACAAATTAGTCGTTGGGAAAAACATCAGAGTAAATTTAATTGTATTGGACGAATGTACTCAGTTAGTCCAACTGAAATTGAATTATTCCATTTACGTATTCTTTTATTGAATATTAAAGGAGCAACAAGTTATAATGCTTTAAAAACAGTTAATGGTGTATTACATCAAACATTTACTTCTGCATGTTTGGCTTTGGGTTTAATTGAAGATGATGATGAATGGAAACGTGCAATTAGCGAAGCTTCTATATATATGGATGATGCCAAGACAACTTAGGTATCTTTTTGTTCGAATACTAATGCATTGCCAACCATTGCATCCAAAAGAATTATGGAATGAATTTCAAGTTGCAATGTCCGAAGATTACATACGACGATTTGGACGAGTCATTGGAATAAAAAAAGCTTATGCTCAAATCAATCAATTACTTCGCAAAGAAGGTTGGAAACTTAAGCAATTTCCAGAAATGGAACAAATAAAGATAAAATATGAAGAAGAAGATGCAGAACAATTGCAAAGAGAAGCTTTATGTGGTCAACAACAGTATAGCCAGTTAAATTATGGTCAAAAAAATGTTGTTGATTATGTTTTAACTCTTTTAACAAAAACTAACAGTCAACAAAAAAAATGCTTATACATTGACGGTCCAGGAGGTTCAGGTAAAACTTTTGTTTACACAACATTATACTATTTACTCAAATCTCAAGGCAAAGTTGTTAATACAATGGCTTTCACTGGTATCGCTGCAACATTACTACCAAATGGAAGAACAGCACATAAAACTTTAGGTTTGCCCGTACCTCTTTTTAATGATTCAACATCGAATATAAAAGTTCAATCCAAAGAAGCTGATTATTTAAAAAAAACAGATGTTTTTATTTGGGATGAAGCACCAATGGCACCGCGATATGCTCTTGAAGTAATGAATTGTCTCTTACAAGATTTAATGCATAATGATATACCATTTGGAGGAAAAATTGTTATTTTTGGTGGAGATTTCAGACAATTATTGCCAGTAAAACAAAATGCCACACGTTCTGAAACTGTAAATTTATCAATTAAATTCAGTTCATTATGGCAATATTTCAAAATTTTTTCATTAACAGAAAATATGCGTATTTTACCACATGAACAGGAATTTGCTCAATTTTTATTAGATTTGGGTAATGGTTCTCTAAATGATCAGTCTAATAATATTGAAATTCCATTAAGATGTGTAGCAAATTTAAATGCAAATATAACGAAAGATACATACGAAGAAATAATCAAACACAATCAGTATAGACTTGCAGCAAAACGTGTTATACTTTCTGCAAGAAATGTTGATGTGGATGAATTAAACAAACAAGTTGTAAATTTACTTGATGAATCAACAGAAAGAGTATACACAAGTATAGATACTACTGAAACTACTGATGATAATAATGATATTAATGAAGCTATTTTAACAGAATATTTAAATACTTTAAATCCAACAAATCTTCCACCTTATGAACTCCGATTAAGAAAATATACAATTATCATGTTGATTAGAAATCTGAATATCAGCGAAGGTTTGTGTAATGGAACAAGATTATTAATTTTAGAATTAGGAAATAATTTGTTAAAATGTGAAATTCTGACTGGTGATAAAAGAGGAGAAATTATCTTTTTAAATCGTATAACTTTATACTGTGAAGATGTTTACCCATTTGTATTTAAAAGAAGACAATTTCCAATTAAATTAGCTTTTGCTATGACCATAAATAAATCACAAGGACAAACATTTGATAAAATTGTAATCGATTTAAGAAAAGATGTTTTTAGTCATGGACAACTTTATGTTGCATTTTCACGAGTTAGATCTTGGGAATCATTAAAAATTTATTTAGGACAAGAAAAACAAAGTAGATTGGTTAAAAATTATGTATATACAGAAATATTTCAATAAGAATGCTGGTATTTTACAGTGTAAATTATAATTACTTTAAATAAATTATAATAGTAAATTTTATATTATATATACATATTTACAATTTTTTAATTTTATATTATATATTATATATTTACAATTACAAACATTGTAATGATATATTTATCATTACAAACAGATATAAATTTTAATATATTATAATATAATATGTTTTATATATTTTTATTTCTTCGAAAGTGCATTCTGTGATAAAAAATGCTTTTTGAAAATGGATTATTCCATATTTCTTCAAGCATAACTCTGAGGATGCATTTTTACAATAGTAATTGTCGAATTACTTTTACAAAAGTAATTGTCAAATAAAATAATAGAAAATAATTTATTTTGTACATATATGACAAGAAAAATTATTGAAACAATAAGTTAGAATTCAATATTTAATATAAAAATATCTAAAAGGAAATAACAAAAGTATTTTAAAATTAAACATAAATTAATTTAAAATTATATTAAATATTATTTAATTAAATATTTATAACACATGATATTGTAGTATTTGTAAAATTAATAGAAAAAAAAGAATATAATGATACAAACTTTATATGTGCATGTTATATACAATTAAAATCAGAATGTTAAAAAAATTAATTTTTTATAAAAAATATTAAATTTTAAATAAAGAATTTAACATATATATAATAGTAAGGTATAAATTATAATATTGATAAGAATATTTGTTTATATTCATGATATAAATAATATACATTAAAATATACATAAGTTTTTAGATTTACAATTGTAATATATAAAAATTATATTTAAGATGATAATTTAACAAATAGAGGAATAAAATTTAATTAACGTTTTAAAGTAAAGCAGATACAGTGAGTATCAACAGATGTAAAACATAATATTAATAAAAATATTTATTTGCTCATGTATATATATAATAATACATAGTTCAAAATATAAAATTTCAGTTTTGCAATAATATACAAATTATATGCTGTAAAAAAAAAATAAAATATGTAAAAAAATGGAGGATCATAGAAACACATAATAGAGAAGATGAGAAAGGCAACGATAGCAATAAAGATGACATAGAGCGTAGGAGAAAGGTTATTTAAACAGGATTTTAAACAGGAGAAGAATGAAGATGTTTGAAACCTTAATAGCAAGCATAGCATATTATGTGGAGCAGAGATCTGGATATGGAAGATGGAAGAAAAACTAGACAAAATAAAGAGAAAATATGTGAAATGGAGATTAGACAGAAGATTGGACAGAAGAACGCCAAATTACATAATAATGGAAGAGACGAAAGTGAAAGAAATAAAAATGAGAGCATTGAAAATGGAGATCAAGTATGAGGAGAAAGCAAGAAAATCGAAAAAGAAAATATACAATAGAATGTATAAAAAAATGGAGAAAGAGTAAAAGAGGAGAAGAAAGTAAATGAGAAAGAAAAAGAAGAGAGGTATTGGAAAAGGTAGGAATTATATATTAAAATAGATAAGTTTTAGTTTTGCAATAATATACAAATTATATGCTGTAAAATATCGAAATAAGATAATCGCATTGGCGCGCGCGAAGCGCGCGCGACGATCTAGTCCCTTTCTAAAAAGTGCATGTTATGTATTCTCGCAATATCTCGAATGTATTGTTGCCTTTTTATCGTGATGCCGATTGGTTGTTGGTTGTCGAGCATTTCGTGCGCTATGACTTGCTTCACTTGTATCCTCGTATGTTGGTTATACGATACGACTGTCAAACTGTCATACTGGCTGCGTATATGTAATTTAATAGTGCGTGTAAGTTAAGAAAAAAAAATACAGAGAATAAAATACATTATATATATAAATATATAAAAGATAGTGTGTGTAAGTTTAAAAAAAAAATACAGAAAAAGAAGAAAATAGGAAAGTATGTATGTAATATATTATATACATTTCTATTTGTTATGTAGTAATATAATTTTACAACCTCTCTATTATATATTTTCTATTTTGTCTATATTTATATATATATTATAAAATCTGTCTTTATATATATTTTTTTATTATCTATATTTATATATTATAAAATCTACCTTTTTATGGAAATATTTAGACATTCTTGAATAGCAGTATTTTACAATTTTATACCATTGTAACGATCATATGTTATAAATTATATTGTATATAATAGAAAGAAAGAAAGTGACGGAGATTAATCGAGAGAAAGAGAGAAAGGAAAAAGAAAAAAGAAGGACCATAGAAAAGAAAAAGAAAGAGAAAGAAGAGAAAAGAGGATTCGGAAAAAATAAAGAAAGAGAAAAACAGAAGGAAGGAAGAAGGAGATATACAATATTAGGTAAATAAATTTATTTTTTATAAATTTAATAAGTGTATATATATATATATATATATATATATTTATATTTATATAGGCTATTTCATACCACACACAAATCGACCACTTTTTTATTTGCTTCATTTTTTTGTTTTTGTACTTATTGAAAGTAGTTTTCATGATTTGAAATTATTTAGACATTATTGAATAGTAGTATTTTACAATTTCATACCATCGTAACGATCATGTGTTATAAATTATATATATAATAGAAAGAAAGAAAGTGACGTAGAATAATCGAGAGGAAGGGAGAAAGGAAAAAGAAGGATCATAGAAAAGAAAAAGAAAGAGAAAGAAGAGAACAAAGGATTTGGAAAAAATAGAGAAAGAGAAAAACAGAAGGAAAGAAAAAGGAGATGTACAATATTAGGTAAATAAATTTATATTTTTTTATAAATTTAATAAGTGTATATATATTGTATATATATATATATATATATATATATATATATATATATTTATATTTATATGGGGTATTTCATACCACACACAAATCGACTATTTTTTTATTTGCTTCATTTTTTTTGTTTTTGCACTTATTGAAAGTAGTTTCTATGATTTTTTTAGATTTTTATCTCTATTTATACTTGAGTTATGAATTTCTAAAAAAAATGTTAAAAAATGAAATTAAAAATTTTCAAATATTTATTACTCTAAGAAGAATAAAGATGTTGCTATTGAAAAAGTGGCCATTTTTTTATTTTTAAATTATTAAAAAAAAAAAAAATATTTAAAAAATTTTCAAAAATAACTTAATAATGTTTTAGTCAATTTTAATCGAATTTATTTTTTTTCCCTTAATAAAACCCCTTCGATTTTTTCTAAAAAATTGATAACATTTGCGACTTAAATACACAATTTTTGAGCCATAAACAAAGAGGGAATTCAAATAATTTCAATTTTTTAACACCATTTTTGAAACTTTTTTTTTGACAATCTCATTCCTTAATTTTTTATATTACTCAAATAAAAC